GCTGGGCGGCTCGGCGGCTCGGCTGCTGGGCGGCTCAGCGACTCGGCTGCTGGGCGGCTCGGCGGCTCTGCTGCTGGGCGGCTCGGCTGCTGGGCGGCTCGGCGGCTCGGCTGCTGGGCGGCTCGGTGGCTCAGCTGCTGGGCGGCTAGGCTGCTGGGCGGCTCGGCGGGGCCGCTGAGAGGGCGGCGTCCGGGGCCGCTGGGAGGAGGCGGCGGGGCCGCTGAGAGGAGGCGGCGGGGCCGCTGAGAGGAGGCGGCGGGGCCAGAAAGGTAGGTGGCGGGGCCGCGTCAGGGGCCGCGACAGGGGCCGCGTCAGGGGCCGCGTCAGGGGCCGCGGCAGGGGCCGTGTCAGGGGCCGCGGCAGGGCCGCGTCAGGGCGCCGCGTCAGGGGCCGCGTCAGGGCGCCGCCAGGGGCCGCGGCAGGACCGCGTCAGGGCCGCGTAAGGGGCCGCGGCAGGGGCCGCGTCAGGGGCCGCGTCAGGGCCGCGTCAGGGCCGCGGCAGAGCCGCTTCAGGGCCGCGTCAGGGGCCGCTTCAGGGCCGTGGCAGGGGCCGCGTCAGGGGCCGCTTCAGGGCCGCGGCAGGGGCCGCGGCAGGCCGCGTCAGGGCCGCGTCAGGGGCCGCGGCAGGGCCGCGTCAGGGCCGCGGCAGGGGCTGCGTCAGGGCGCCGCCAGGGGCCGCGTCAGGCCGCGTCAGGGCCGCGTCAGGCGCCGCCAGGGGCCGCGTCAGGGCGCCACCAGGGGGCGCGTCAGGGGCCGCGATAGGGCGCCGGCAGGGGCCTCGTCAGGGCGCCGCCAGGGGCCGCATAGGGGGCGCGTGGGAGGCGGCGTAGGGGCCGCGTAGAGGCAGCGTAGGGGCCGCGTAGAGGCAGCGTAGGGGCCGCGTAGAGGCAGCGTAGGGGCCGCTAAAAAAAAAATTTAGGGCAGGGCGCAATGTGCGCGGGCAGCTAAAAAAAAAATTCTTATGGTGGGCCCTTAGGAAGGAACGGTCCCATGTAGGAACCCGCTCTATACCATGTGAATTAAGAAAAACAGGAATGAGAATGACTAAGTGAAAGTTGGGTACAAGAAGCAAACCCTAGAAAACTGTACCCCACTCTAGCCTACAGTAGCTATGTCATATAAATCTGACATAAGGGTCGCGAGGGTGGCTAGTAGGGCAGCAGGTGGTGGACCCAAAAAACGGTCCTAGAAGGGACCTGCTCTGAAACCATGTTGAAGTAACGAACGAGAATGAATGAACTATGGAACAGTTGGGTACAAGTACTAACCCTAATTGGGTTGTACCCCTTATGGGCTACCCCACTATAGCCTGCACAAATATAAGCACTATAACATTCTGACACGAACAAGAGCGGGTTCGCGAACCGAACGAAGCACATTGCCCTGCGCTATTTCTTTGTGAAGGACGAGATCGAGAAAGGGAGAATCAAGCTATCCTACTGCACCACGTCCGAGATGGCAGTGGATTACTTGACCAAGAAACCCGGAAAGCAGAAGTTCAAGTACTGCATGCTGCTGACTGGAGAAAGCCACGTCATCAGCAACGAAGGCAACGAAACTCCAGAAGCGAAGAGGAGTGTTGGAAACATATAGTTCGCTCTTCTAATGTGTCGAGCACTACAACAAAAGCGAAGCGAACTGAAGCGAAGCAACAGCGAGTCAACCAAAGCGGTTGACAGAAAGACAACAAGAAGAGGTTGAGTGAAGTTCAAAGGTCAGCGACCTTGACTCGTCGAAAAGCAGCGCGATAGCAAGGACACATAACTGACTCACTATTGAGCAGTTATCCGAGTCGTCGCTGTATCGAACCGCAACAGCAGGTACAGTTAGTGAAATCTTTCACATTCCTTTGTAATCATACAAAAGCTTTGTATCTCTTTGCTATTATTAACTTATCTTGTTCTCACATACCAGTGCAAGGTGGTTCAATTAGTTCACTATTACGCTTCCGCTGATACATCACTACTCTGAGACTTGGGTCTTCAAAACGATCCTAAGGGTTTTTTCTCAGCCCAACAGAAGGCATCGTGCACACGCAAATCGTCGGGCAGCAGGAGTTTTGCCGTGACTGGGGTAATCATCTTCAGAATGTTGAAAGGTCCGCAATATCGCGGGCGTAGTTTCGGCGAGATGGGCAGTCGAATATTTTTTGTGTCGAGTAGGACTAGTTGCCCCGCAACCATGGTGATTTCCTGTCGCAGCAGATCGGAATATTTTCGGGCGGTTGCATTTGCCTTGCAAATGGTTTCGACTTCTTTCTCGTTGGCCGCCTGGAGTTCCATCACAAAGTGTTGGGAACGTGGTACCGGGTTCTCGGGTATTGTCCCTGTGGGTACCATGGGATCCATCCCGTTATTCAAGAGAAACGGGGAATGGTTGGTCCTGCTGGACAAGGCGTTGTTGTACGCAAATTCCAGCATCGGGAGTGATATTTCCCATCGAGCAGGGTCAGGGCAGTTCGTGCGGATGAGCGGCTACATCGTTTGATTGGTCCGTCGGTTTGCGGGTGGTAGGCCGACGAAAACTGTAGTCGTGTGCCGTAATGCGACCTAGGATTCCTTCCAAAACCTCGACGTGAATTTCGGGTCGCGATTGCTGACGATCGCCGACGAGATTCCGTGAAGTCGAACAACGGTTGAGATGAACAGACGCGCACTCTCTTCGGCTGTGATGGTTTTACGACAGGGTGCGAGGTGCGCCATTTTCGTGAGGCGATCGACGACGACGAACACTGCATCGTTGCCGGATGCGCCAGCTGGCAGCGCCGTGATAAAATCCATTGTCACCTGTTGCCACAGTCGCTCGGGTGGCTCGAGGGGCTGCAACATTCCATCCGGTCGCTGACATGTTGATTTCATTGCTTGGCACACTCTGCATGAAGACCCATAACGCTGCACGTCAGAGTTAGCATCAGGCCAATAATACTGACGGTGCAGAATTTTCTGCATCTTGTGGACTCCGAAATGTCCGGAGAGGTTCGAATCATGGACCTTCTGGATAAGCAAATCTCGGAGGAGGCGATAAGCGGGTACCCAAACTCGGTCGGTTCCGGCTTTTAGGTAATAATCCCCTTTCTGCGTCGTCACCTGCATGTGATTGCGTGTCGTGAAGAACGTGTCCGTCTTGTAGCCGTGGGTGAATAGCCCTGAAATTACCAGGTTCGAATGGGATGAGAACTGCAATGAATTGTACTGTCGGGCGGGTCAAGGCGTCGGCGATGTTATTCGCGCCCTTTTTGTAGGTGATGCGGTAATGAAAATGCGACTCCATGTAGTCGAGCCGCCAGATTTGTCACGGGTTGAGGTTGGGTTGCGCGCGGAGATACTGTAGCGATTTGTGGTCTATTCGGATAGTGATGTCGGCACCTGTTAGGTAACAGCGCCACAGTTTAAACGCGTGAATGATGGCAAGCATCTCCTTGTCGTGAATTGGGTAGTTGCGCTCAGCTGCTTGCAGTTTGCGTGACTCGTTGGCGATCTGTTGTAAGCCATTGCCGAAATCTTGGAGCATCACTGCGCCGATGGCGAAATATGAAGAGTCGGTGATGACTTCGAACGGTCGGGATGGGTCAGCGATGTGAAGGACTGGAGGGGACACTAGCAATTGCTTCAGCTCCTGAACAGTCGCATTAGCTTCCTCCCCCCACACAAAATTCATGTCCTTGTGCAGTACGTCGGTCAACGGGCCGGTTATCCCTGCCATATTCGGGATAAACCGCCGGACATAACTCACAAACCCCAGAAAACTCTGAAGTTCGGTGACATTAGTCGGGGCCTTCCACTCCTGGATGGTCTTGATTTGCTCCGGGTCAATTCTGATGCCGTCGCGTGTGATGACATGCCCCAAAAACCCCAACTCCTGCTTAAAGCTCACGTCTCATATTTTTTGTGAGCCAACCAAGAGTTAAACGGTTGGAAATCCGGTAATTGCCAACCAAGAGTTAAACGGTTGGAAATCCGGTTAAATCCGGCTCAAACAGCCCAAAGCAAGGGTTAGGGTTGGGAAGGTTGGTTAGGAGTGGGTAGCCCCTGCAAACCAAATGTACACATCAAACAACGTGCTCTGATCCAGGGTTTGGATACGACCAGCCAGGTTGTGAAACACACATGCATGATGAAATCACAGGTGCAAAAATCAACGTGCGACCACATTGGCATCGCCGAACACTCCCTCGTGCAGTCCAAGCGTTTTACACTAACCTGCAAGAAATTTGAGATACACAACTCATTACTTCCACAAAACTCAACTAGGCGGCGTCTTTTCAAGTGTTTTATGCGACAATCAGCCTTCCTAGTTCACCGCTAGCCCCGAAATGACATCTCCTTGCAATCAGCCCTAACGCACCGAGCTACTCTCAACCGTCTCTGTTTAGGAGGTGACGTATTCCAACGACTTCGTCTCCATACTGATCCGCAATCCCAATTCCCGATCACTTGAGAGGCAAGAGAGAACGGAGGGCCAATCGTCCCAATCCTCATACGTCGCCCATTTGATAGCACCATTCCTTGCTGCCACTATTAGGTGAGGGTCGATGGGTTGTGCTGCCACCGCGGCGATTTCGTGGGTCTTGTTAGGCAAAAATTGAACGAGCGGCCCAGCTTTAACACGTACGAAATGCACATCGGTTGAATAATAAATTGCTTACTGGTAAAAAAGGTGGGATCAAGAGCAGGATGTATATGATGTGTAGAAAAGCGGGCCACATTATTGACGCCATAGGAAAGGGAGGTTTAGGAACTCAGCCTCTTACGGACATTTGAGCGAAATTGGCTAAGGTTTACGCAAATCCGCTCTGCTTGTACCGAGCGGCCCAATAGCTTGCCGGAATAACTGTACTCGACGTGTAGAAGTCAACAATGCGCTCCGGAATATGAGGTTATGCAATGAGAGGCAAAGTTGTACGAAGTTTCGAGGCAGAGTGGAGGGGAGGGGATAGCGGAAAGGAAAGGGAGGTGAAGTCAAATGGTGGAGTGTGGTGGGCGATTGAGGGGAACGGAAGGTTATGACAGTAGAGCGGGGGAGCTAATGTCAGGCAGATGGGGAAGGGCGTGTGAGGTCAAGGTGGGAAGGGACGTGCTGTGAGGGTTTGAAGGGATGTGCTGCGAGAGGGGGAAGGGAGGTGCTGTGAGGGTTTGAAGGGAGGTGCCGCGAGAGGGGGAAGGGAGGTGCTGTGAGAGGGGGAAGGGAGTTGCTCTGAGAGGGGGAAAGGAGGTGCTGGTTGTGAGGAAATAGGCGGTGTCGGTGGGGGAAGGGAGGCAGGAACGGAGGTGCTGGCAGGGGGGAAGGCAACGATGTGAGAGAGGGGAAGAGAGGTGCTTAAGGAGGGGAAAGGGAGGTAAGGTCAGAGGGGCGAGGGAGGTGCTGCGAGAGGGGGAAGGGAGGTGCTGTGAAAGGGGGAAGGGAGTTGCTGTGAGAGGGGGAAAGGAGGTGCTGGCTGTGAGGAAATAGGCGGTGTCGGTGGGGGAAGGGAGGCAGGAAGGGAGGTGCTGGCAAGGGGGAAGGCAACGATGTGAGAGGGGGGAAGAGAGGTGCTTAGGGAGGGGAAAAGGAGGTAAGGTCAGAGAGGGGGTAGGGGGGGAGGTGCTGCGAGAGGGGGAAGGGAGGTGCTGAGAGAGGGGGAGGGAGGTAAGGTCAGAGGGGGAAGGGAGGTGCTGGCCGTGAGGAAATAGCCGGTGTCGGTGGGGGAAGGGAGGCAAGAAGGGAGGTGCTGGCAGAGGGGAAAGAGCTGATGTGATAGGAGGAGGATGTGTGCTAATGGCGGGGGAAGGGAAGTGAGGTCAGAGGGGGGAGTGAGGTGTTTTGGGAGGGGGAACGCAGTTTAGGTCAGAGGGGTACGATGGTCCTTAGGAATAGGGAAGGGAGATGAGGATGGCAAGGAGACACGTGCTTAGGAAGAGTGAAGGGAGGTGCCATGAGATGGGGAAAAGAGGTGCTGTGAGAGGGGAAAGGAGGTGCTGGCATGAGGGAAAGACGTAAAAGCATTCCTGCAACCCCTCCCCCCTTTCTCTCAGCTCCTGTTTTTGATGTGCATGTTTCATCCGTCCCTGACCCCTGCACTTTGTAAACTTCGAGCCCTAATCTTTTATAACTTGTTCATCCCTCCTCTACAAAGTTTCCAGTACTAGTCAACCCCTGATCCAGGGTACATTGGGTTGGATGTGTTACAATAGAGTGATGCTCTAGATGGGTAGGTACATACGTGACGACATGATCCTTATCACTTAGGCCACATATGGTGTTGCTTTTTACCTGCACCTGCCCACTTTCCCCCCTCTCTCCCTTTCTCCTTTGTGCGGCAGGTGCTCTCCTTCAGTGTTAAGCCTGCGGGACCAGTCAACCCCTGAATGGGTCCGTATATGCAGGGCTTGTTTGAAGTATACCGTACATGGTCCTTTGTGGGTGCTCTCCGTCCTCTGGGGTTCCCCTGGAGGTCCTGGAGGACAGGCAGTTTGAGCTTGGTTTCCTTGCGGCCGCTGTTCCTCATCTCTGTGCCATGCTGCTTGCCCCTGAAGGGGATCTAGACGCTTTTGACATCCCGATCCCTCGCAATCATGCTGAGGCGGTCTCGGGACCTTGGGCCTCGTACTGGATAGCAGCTGAGGAGGCAGAGATGGCATCTTATAGGTCCACAGGCATCTACGTTGACGCCGTCCCACCTCCTCGGATGAACGTCGTTAGTGGCATGTGGCTCTACAAGGTGAAGCGGCCGCCTGGATCACCACTGGTGTTCAAGGCGCGCTATGTGGCGAGCGGCTTTAGTCAGGGCGAGGGGGTGGACTTCTTCCATGGCCACTGGAACAGTGTGTTTCCCTAGCCCCACTGGCCTTTGCTTAACACCCCCCATAATGTTTTGAAGCTGCTCTTACAAGGTCTCCCCCTTGTTCTTGGATCGCCTGCCATTACGACCACATGTCAATTTCATATGCTACTACTTGGTTATTGTGCTACACGTAGCCTCACACAACCCAGACCACTCACCTTGGTGCCATTACGATTCCCTGCGCAAATTTTGTTAGACGAGAGTCCACAACCGGAATGGCGTTGTCGTGTATGGCCCGCTGGGATGTTGACGGGTTGCAGAGGCACAATGAAATGACATGAGTGTTAGGTTGTGCCATCTCTCGCGACACAAGTCACCGCCTTTAGATGTACCTAATCACCATCCCAAAACCCCCCTCTGACTATACCTATCTTCTGCCTCTAACCTCACTTCAACCCCCCTCATCGCACCTTCCCTTCACAATCTCTGACCTTACCTCCATTCCCCCTCCCTAAGCACCACTCTTCCCCCTCTCACATCCTTGCCTTCCCCCCTGCCAACACCTCCCTTCCCGCCTCCCTTCCCCCTCTGTCAGCCCCTCCTTACCGCGTCTCATCGCACCTAACGTCCCCCTTATGACATCACCTCCTGCCCCCCTCCCCTCATCTCCCTTCCTCCTATGACCCCCCCACCCTTTCCCTCTCATAGCACCTCCTTTCCCCCTAACATGACACCGCCCTTCCCCCTTTTGACCTCTCCCTAAGCCCTTCCCCCTCCCTTCACCACCCATTCTCAGTCATGCTACTATACAAACAAGATGCGAGGAAACTAGAAACACGGAAAAGTGCAGCAAGTGACCACGAAAACAATGGATAGGAAGCATTCTGATGGTGGTGGCAGTGGAGTGGACAAGAGGATTGATGATGTCAGAGGGAGAAAGGGGGGAAAAGATGAGGAAGATAACACGGAGATTATGTATGGAGGACCATGGAGATGCATGGGGCAGAGTGCTTTATTTGCTATGCTCATGTTTCGCTAGAGGTGTACAAGGAGGACCTGGAAGACAGGCAATTCGAGCTTGGTTTCCTTGCGGCCGCTGTTCCTCATCTCTGCGCCATGCTGCTTGCCCTTGAAGGGGATCTAGACGCTTTTGACACCCCGATTCCCTCGCAATCACGTCGAGGCGGTCTCGGGACCTTGGGCCTCGTACTAGATAGCAGCTGAGGAGGAAGAGATGGCATCTTATAGGTCCACAGGCACCTACGTTGATGCTGTCCCACCATCTGGGATGAACGTCATTAGTTGCATGTGGCTCTACAAGGTGAAGCGACCGCCTGGATCACCACTGGTGTACAAGGCGCGCTATGTGGCGAGAGGCTTCAGTCAGGGCGAGGGGGTAGACTTCTTCCAGACCTTCGCTCCCACCCCAAAGATGACCAATCTTCGGGTGTTGCTGCACATTGCAACTCAGCGCGACTACAAGTTACACTCCTTGGAATTCTCCACAGCGTTCCTTCAGAGGAGCCAGCATGAGCAGATCTAGCTGCGTTGTCCAGCTAGCTTTACTGGCTCCTTCCCTCCTGGACCCAGTGGGAGCTGCGTCGACCGGTCTACGGCCTGCGCCAGGCTCCCCGTGAGTGGCATGACACACTTCGCATGACACTTGCCGCGCTTGACTTCTTTCCGTCGTCTGCTGACCCGTCTTCGCCACTCCGGACCAACGCGCGCTGGCCTCCGTGAAGGAGGAACTGCAGAGGAGACACACTTGCACTGACCTTGGTGAGCTGCATCACTACCTTGGCCTGCAGATCACTACGGACAGGGCAGCTCACACCATTAAGCTGGTTGAGCAGATCCTCACGCGGTTCCGCTTCCCGTTCTTCAAGGTACAACCCACTCCTCTTGGTGTGGACCATGGGCTCACAGCTCCACCTTCGGATGAGCCATTTGAGTCCAGTGATCCATATCCTGAGCTGGTGGGTTGTCTCATGTACCTTATGACCTGTACTCGCCCAGACCCAGCTTACCCGCTTAGCGTGCTTGCACACTTTGTTGCACCTGGGAGACACCAACCGTCCCAGTGGTACGCGGCTAAGAGGGTGGCGAAGTATGTGGCGAGTACATCAGGCATGGGACTTGTCCTTGGAGGGAAGCAGCCAGTTACACTTACAGGTTAATCGGACTCGTCGTGGGCCGACGACGAAGAGTCGCTGCGGTCTACACAGGGTTACTGCTTCAGTCCTGGGACCGGAGCTGTTTCATGGAGGTCGACTCGGGCGTCGTCAGTCTCCAGTTCCAGCTGTGAGGTAGAGGTGTACACTGCGGCCATGGCCGCCCATGAGCTTCGCTGGCTGTCTTTCCTCCTCACCGAACTTGGTGAGCGGCCTCGCTCTCCCCTAGTCTTGTTCGCCGACAACAGGTCGGCTGTCTTGTTGTGGGAGGAGCCCCGTCTGGTTGGGAAGGCGAAGCACATCCAGCTTCGTTAATTCCTTCTGCGCGAGTTTCAGCAGCGTGGCCAGGCTCGCATGGTACGTGTGGTCTCTGAGGCCAACACTGCAGATATCTTCACCAAGGCGTTGCTGCCTTGTGCCCACCAGCGTTTCTGCACCCAGCTAGGCCTTGTGTTTACAGGCCCTCACTTGCTTGCGTAGAGATGCTCTGTCTTGTACTCTTGCAGTTCTTCCTATATATCTATATCGATGTATGTGGATTGGCCTTGTGGCTCCTTGTTTGCCCTCAGACTGTGTGGTGACATTGGGATCCACCTTGATTTGCATCCCTTGATTGATTCTTGTTGTTGCAGACTAGTCTTGTGACCGTAGCTTGTTCTTGTTGACTGGTCATGTGACCCTTGCTCTGAGACTGTGTGGTGATTTCGTGATCCACCTGTCAGAACATTATAGCTTATGTTGTTGTGTAGGCTATAGTGGGGTATCCCATAGGGGGTACAACCAATTAGGGTTTCATATTTGTACTCACTTCATTTCATAGTTCATTCATTCTTGTTCAAATCTTCTCATGGTATCGAGCAGGTTCCCCCTTGGGAACTGTGCTTAGGGCCCACCACATCGATTTTTTTTTTCCTGCCCGAAGCGCGCTCAGCCCGAGTCGCGCTTCGGGCCCTCACTTCGTCGAGCCGCCCTAGCGGCCCTGCACTGCGGCCCCGCCACCCGTCTCCGCGGCCCCGCCGCCCGTCTTCGCGGCCCCGCCGCCTCTCTCCTAGCGGCTCCGCCGCCCTACCTAGCGGCCCCGCCGCCCTACCTCGCGGCCTCGCCGCCCCATTGCGCGGCCCCGCCGCCCTACCTAGCGGCCCCGCCGCCCCATCGCGGCCCCGCCGCCCCATCGCGCGGCCCCGCCGCCCCATCGCGCGGCCCCGCCGCCCCATCTTGCGGCCCCGCCACCTTACCTGCGGCCCCGCCGCCCTCTGCTACGGCCCCGCCACCCTATCTGCGGCCCCGCCACCCTACCCGCGGCCACGCCGCCCTTACCAGCGGCCCCGCCGCCCTTACCTGCGGCCCCGTGCCCTGCAGCAGCACAGCCGAGCCGCCCAGCAGCCGAGCCGCCGAGCCGCCCAGCAGCCGAGCCGCCCAGCAGCCGAGCCGCCGAGCCGCCGAGCAGCCGAGCCGCCCAGCAGCCGAGCCGCCCAGCGGCCGCGCCGCCCAGCAGCTGAGCCGCCCAGCAGCCGAGCCGCCCAGCAGCTGAGCCGCCGAGCCGCCGGGCCGCCCAGCAGCTGAGCCGCCGAGCCGCCGCGCCGCCCTCCTTCAGGGCCGCCCGACCTGCCCAGTCTGGTGAGCACAGCGCCTTTTCACTGCACTGTCCTCACCCCACTGTTTGCGCTGCTAGTCGTCTAGGGTCATGGCTACCCCTAGTGTTCTCGCCTTTGACGCTGAGGGTAGGGCCATTGACTTTGAGGTCTGGGTAGATGACCTGCAGCTGTTCTTACAGTGCGATAGGGCAGACGGCCTCTCTCTCTTTGACCTCACCTCTGGCACCTCCACTGCCCCTGCTGCTGATGCTGACGCCACTGTTCGCTCCCAGTGGGCCACGCGCGACGCTGCTGCACGTCTTGCTGTGCGTCGCCACCTCCCTACCTCCGAGCGTGCGCACTTTAGTCAGTACAAGAGTGCTCAGACCTTGTACGACGCTGTAGTTGCGCGCTACTCCTCCCCTGCCACTGCTGCACTGAGCCGTCTCATGCTACCGTACCTCTTTCCTGATCTTACTGCCTTTCCCACAGTCACTGACCTCATTACTCACCTCCGCACTAGTGACACTCGCTACCACGCTGCACTCCCTCCTGACTTCTGCGCCAGGAACCCCCCCCCCATGTACATCACTCTTTACTACATAGTCACTCGCCTTCCTGACTCCCTTCGCGTAGTCAGGGACCACTTTCTCTCTGTCTGTCCCACCACTCTCACTGTTGACCTCCTCGAGAAGTCCCTCCTAGCGGCCGAGAAGAGCATCGTCGCTGTAGGGGCCTCTCGTGGTGACCCGCGCACCCCCATCTTTGAGGGGTGTTCCCCCTCCCCCCTTCTGCCCTCTGTTGCCTCTGCTGCTGCGGCCGACCTCCTTGTTCTTGAGTCGGTCGGTGCGGCGTCTGCCCATAGCGGGAGACGCCGCTCTGGCAAGGGCAAGGGGGGCAAGGGCGCTGGAGGAGCGAGCGGGGGCGGTGGAGGTGGAGGTGGCGGCAGTTGGGGGAGTGGGGGTGGCGGTGGGAGTGGAGGTGGGGGTGGAGGGGTCGGTGGCGGCAGTGGAGGTGGAGGTGGCGGCGGCGGTGGCGGTGGGAGCGGAGGTGGCGGAGGTGGCGGAGGTGGAGGCGGCGGCGGAGGCGGAGGCGGCGGCAGTAGCGGAGGCGGCGGAGGCGTCGGAGGCGGCGGGGGTGGCGGTGGTGCTGGTCGCGGGTCTTCGCAGAGGAGTGGCTCCGGTGGTGGCTCGCGCCAGCAGCAGCAGCGTGGTCGTGACACCCTGTCCCCTCAGCAGCTTCGTGAGTGGTACACTGCGCGTCAGCGGGGTGGGGGTTTTGGTCCGTGCTCCTACGTTTTGCGCACTGGCGACCGTGCGGGTGAGCAGTGTGGGGGTGCCCACCCCACCCAGCGCTGCTTTGGCCGCCTGACGGACGCGTGGCGTCACCAGTTCCCGGAGGCCTCCGAGATCCCTCG